TAAGAATATACAATTATTGGAGAGTAGAATTGAAGAAGGGATACAAGTGAATTTAGGAATTGCAGAAGAAGAAAATAAAAAGACTAGAAAGGAACTTAAGATGGATATTGATGACATAAACAACCGATTGGAAAAAAACAAAGAAAATTTATGTAACAAAATACATGAAAATTTGGAAATTATAGAAAAAAGAATACAAGAAGAAAGAAGGTGTGGAAACAATCAAGAGGAAGTAAATAAAGTGATGTATAATAACAGTATAAATCATAAATTTGATGGTGACATTAAAAAGTTACATCCGCGTGTTTTCATAAAAATTTTAAAAAATAAATTTAAAGGTATGAGGGACATAGATGATATAAAGGAAAATATTAGGGAACATTTAGAAGGTCATTCGTTGGTATGGTTTTCGAGTAGGGAAAATGAAATTCAAAATTTTGAAGATTTTGAAAGAGTATTTATGCAACAATTTTGGGGGGAACATATACAAGCGTCTATACGAGAAAATTTATATTTTGGTAAATACAGGGAAAATAAAAAATATGGGTTAAATAATTATGCAATTCACTTATATGCACTTGCGCAGTACTTAGAACCTCCAATTCCAGAAGGGGAAATGGTGATGTTCATAGCTAGGCACTATAGATCAGAATTAGCTGAAACTATAGCGGTTCAGAATATAAAAAAATTAGATCAATTATGCAGTTATTTAACACGAGTAGAGAGAAATTTGTCCACACATAATAATAATATTCTTCAGGGCAACGGATACAATAACAATGGTAGCAGTTATAATAACCAATGTGGTAGACATGATAGTAATAATAATACTAATTATAACAGGTACAATCAAGGTAATAAATTTAATGATTTTGATAATAACTACAGATACAATAGAAATTTTAATAATGGTAATAACAGTTATAATCGAAATAGTATAAATAATAATTATAGAAACTATAACAATGGTATAAATAACAACAATTACAATAGAAAATTTAACAGTACAAATTTTAATGACAGTAATTACAGATATAACAGCAATGTAAATAGAAATAACAATGACAGAACATATAATGAAAATAAAAGAACAGAACAAAGAAATTTGGAAGGGGAAGTGTATAGAAGAGGGGATGATCGAAGAGTAAACTATCAGAGAATAGAAGAAAGAGGTGAAAGAATTAGTCATTCAGAAGACAAAAGTCGACCAGAAGAAAGAAGATATCAAGAAAATACCATTGAAGAAGGACAAAACGGACACACTGAACTTACGATTACACAACATCACGACAATGACTATTCTTTTTAGATAAGCACACACCAAATAAACAAAATTTATACATCTGTGCGTTGGAAAATCCTATTGAATTTA